CTTGGGGTATATGATTGAAAATTTTCTTGAAATGTTTCAATATGCCATGTTGTCATCATCCAACCCATCTATGCTCCCGCCTGATTTCAAGGCAGGCCATCTGGTATCACATTTTGTTCTCCCTAGGGACTAGGAAATGGAAAATATTATTAGAAATCAGGGGAGGGGTTGACCAACCATTGATTTTCCATTTCATGCATTTAAAGTGTAGTACAACTAAATTGTTACCAGAAACCTATATAATAATGACGACAACTCAGTCTCTATATCTCTCAGACAATTGCAAATATAAAATTTGAAACTGAAGCAAGCTTGTTACAATATCCTTCAGTAAGATTGAGTTTGTGGTCTCATTCATTTATGAATAAAATTGATTATACTCATGCATATTTGCATTACCAATTGATTGCCTCTAAAAATGCAATTGGACACAGGGAGTTTCTTCTGGAATCTGCTAGGAAGGTTGGAGTTGAAGGAGCAGCAGAGTTCCTTGAAAACCCTAATAACGGACTCAAGGAGGTCTGTTCCTTTATACAACTTTGGTCATACTGTCGCTCTCATTTCTAGGATTCCATAGTACATTCCTTCTGATATATTTTATAGCTAACCCAGGTTGCTTTTTCTGAGTCAATGAAGGTTAATGAGGAGCTGGAGAAGTACTCAGCAAACATTTCTGGAGTCCCAAATTACATGGTAGGTGAAAAAAATTCGCATCTTTTAGATTAATTTTTTGGATTGATAAAGCATTGAGTTCCATTGATTAAAAACGGTTCTCTTGGCAGATAAACGGAAAGCACCAGTTGAGTGGTGGCCAACCACCTGAAGTGTTCATGAGAGCTTTTGAAGTGGCAGCAAAATGACACCTTGAATCTTATATCTTCAAGCTTTTTCACATGTTACAAAAGCAATAAAGTGGCTTTCTAACAAACTCCAACGCCATATTAGGTGTTTATGCTTATCTGTATCAGGAGTGCATTTTGGCAAAATACCAGTAGTCTTTGCGGTATCCAATAGTAGCTTATATGTACACTCACCCCCTTTCTGTTCTAAATCCTGCTACTCTCTTTGGCAAAAAACACCTACAGTTGGGCAGTATAACGTCCATGACATGCCAAAAGAGTTTGTATATTTCTTGAACAGGGTGTCCCTAAACTTCAATTTTTTTGTAACTTATAAGTATAGATTGGCTCTAATAACAGTAAACTTGTTATATCAAACGCCTCTTTTCAATTCTTTTCTTTTTCTTCTGTCTACTGATTATATCGAATCCAGACAAGAAGAAGTCATGGCAAGTTTGAACTGAACTATAGCCTATAATCATCAAACACCTACTAAGTATTTGTTTAATCACAATAGTACATGGAACACAAAGGAAAAAAAAAATCATCATGGTTCTGGAGGAATTATATGATTTATGGGATCAGTTGTCAGCATATCTGCTGAACAAACATCTCCATTGAACTCTGGAATGCACTTTTAAGTATCTTCTAGCTGAATTAGTGATACCACAGTACTTAAAAGAAACAATGTCTTAATAAGTTATGAGCAGGCCATCTCTCTTCATTTCATATCTAGCTTCCCAAACAAAAATTTTGTGCATTTGGTCGGAAGGAAAGGATACAATGCTTTCTCCCTTACATTGTAGGCTAACTATTAGCCGCAAAATAACAAAACTGGGATTCAGGAGGCTCTTTGAGTATTAAGGAATGACACGACCATATAATTCGTAAGCATACAAGTCAAATGCATGGTATAGAGTTCATATAAGAGTTCATACTGCTCTTATATAATCGCTTTCCTCTTAACGAGTATGAACAATAATTGATAATGTCGTTTCTCTTTCTGTCACATGAGAGCCTCCTACAATACATAAAGAGTAACAAATCTACCAGGGGAAGGATGGTTGGAGGCTAATATCCTGATGGGGAGCTGAATCCTCTTAAAATCTTTCTTCTCTACCTTCTCATTTCCAACATTAATTTCATCCAGGCACAGAAAATACTAAAAATTTCAAAATGAAAAATATAAAGAAATTATGGGATCTGGCTTAGCTTCCTCAAATTCACACCTCTTCTCATTGATAAAAACGATTTTTAGAACTTTCATGAGATTTCCAACAATCATGCATGATTTTTCTTTTTCCCCACTTAAAGGGTTGCAAAGAGAATGTACTTGCAATCTTTTTACAGAACACTTTTCATATTTACTGTATGTGACAATCACTTTATCCTGAAGTATTTACAAAGCACT